TTCATATTTCAGAAAATATGCTTTATTTGTAATGATGAAAAAAAATAAAATCTTATAATAAATCTTTGCGAGCTATTTTTTGATTTCAACCGAATCGAAATTGCTACAGATGCATTATTTTCCTTAAAAGCAATTAAAATTTAGACCAACTACATAATAAAAATAATTTATTTATTCGCTTGATATAATGAATTTACCTTAATTTACATTAAGAACTACTTGTTGTATGTCATATAAGTCAATAACAAAATTTTCGCCAACAACAGTATCGGGTACCACTGCAGTATAGTCTTCAACATTTGGAACTCCACCCAAGATTGGGGGATCCCAAAAGGCATCTCTAACAGGAATAGTTACTTGAAATTCATTATTATTTGGAGCATTACAACCGGTTGGTGTATGAGTATTATGATGTATAGTCCCGCATTCCCACTATCATTTGCAAAAATTATCTTAATCCGGATATCTGATTACAAAAATACAGCAGTAAATTAATATTACCTCCTTGACATATATTCCATTTCCTGCTAAAACTGCATTTGAGGATAATACACCACCTGGTAGTGCTTGACGTACCCATAATCTTGCCTAATATAGAAAAAAAATCATAAAGTTGAAACTAATCGAATAATGAATAGATGTTAAACATACAGGACATACTATTATTGGCTGATGAACAATTCTTTTGATATTTATTTTAGGATAAATTTTAACTCCAAATACACAGCGAACGTATTCCTCGTGCATCCACGTTTCGCATTTTGTGTTCCATAAATCAATTTTTTGAGTATTAGCAACTTCGCAAATTATTCTTGCATGGGAATTTCTCTGTGTAACTTTAATTAAAAATTGCCTTTAAAAATAAGTATTATGATAACGAAATATTAAAGTACTTTGAAGTCACCGCGGGGAAAATCAGGATATGGATTTGCTCGTTGTACAAGATTCTCTCTCGGGCAAACGGCAATGTCTGGAGCTATTTTTTCTCCAATTCCGATTGGATTGTAATGGTCTATTGGAAAATTTTGTATTTTTATTACAAGCCCCAGAAAATAGAATTAAATAAAAATCTCTTACAAGATTGACCAGAAGTTATTATCGGTCCAAGCTTTACTCTATTATTTGGT